CACTGGGCTCAGGGTCCAGGCCCCCGGAGCCCGGCTACCGGGGGGGCGGGGCGCCTGATATCCCGCCTCTGCGGTGACGTCATTCCCTTGCAGGCGCGCCCCGGATAGGGTGGGAATTTTTTTATCTCCTCCCTCTACCCGAAGTCCCGGGAAGGAGGGAGAAGCTAGAGGGAATAAAAGGTATTTTTTGGTAGCCGTCGATTTAGAGCGTTTTTTTTTTTTTTTGTGAGGCCAGCGGGCACTTTAAGGGGAAATAGAAAACAGTGGGTGTGGGAAGATGTGTCATCCCTGTTCCCGGCAGCAGAGAGACTCACGCTCCCCGTGGCTGTCTCAGCCACGCCTATGGCTGCCCTTGGCCAACTACAGGCCAAGTCTCCAGCCCGGACCTGTCCCCTGAGCTACCTCCACAGACCCCGCAAAGGCAACCCGTCCGGCTGGGATCCAATCGCCTCCTCCCAGAACTTGTGTTCCTTGTCTCGATGAGTAAATGGCACCCTTTTCTGTCAACCACCCAAGCCTAAAACCTGTGCATTATGCCTCACACCAGAGAGGCATTTAATCTTTACTAAATGACTTTGGCTGCTCCCACAACGAGAGTGAACGTGAAAGAGCTTAGCATTTCATACACTGAGAACTCCCAAATTACAACTCCAACCCAGTTTACCCTGGATTCCAGAATCCTATCGACACACCTCCTCATTCGACATCTCCATTTGGATTTCAACTAGACATAGCAAACTTAAATGCCTAAAACTATGCTTCTAATTCCCTCTCCTCCAAAGTACCCTCTTTATAGCCTTTGCTATCTCAGTAAATGACAATTCCATTCTTCCAGGTCCTTAAACCAAAAACCTTGTAGTCATCCTGACTCTTCTGTTTCTCGTTCATTGTACCCACATTCAATTTGTGAGAACCTGACTACTTCCCACTATCTCCACTGCTACCACACTTGTAAAGTCAATTTTATTACCTGTATTGTTGCAATAGTCTAATTGTCTCTCTGTTCCATACTTTACATCCCTATAATGTATGTTCAATAGAGCAGCCAAAATGATTATTTAAAATGTAGTTCAGCCCTGACTGGTTTGGCTCAGTGGATAGAGCGTCGGCCTGCGGACTGAAGGGTCCCAGGTTCGATTCCGGTCAAGGGCATGTACCTTGGTTGCGGGCACATCCCCAGTAGGGGGTGTGCAGGAGGCAGCTGATCGATGTTTCTAACTCTCTATCCCGCTTTGTCTTATAGTTGGTAGTTTCAATGTTGTTGTGGGAGGCAGCACACACAGGTCTATACCTTATGCCGCCATCTTGGTTCCTCCCAAAATGATTATTTAAAATGTAGTTCACATTATGTCACTTCCCTGCTCAAAACCTTCCAATGGCTTCCTATTACATTCAGATTTTAAAAATTAATTTAGCCTTAGTTGGTTTGGCTCAGTGGATACAGTGTCAGCCTGCGGACTGAAGGGTCCCAGATTCGATTCAGGTCAAGAGCACATGCCCAGGTTGCCTGCTCGACATCCAGTAGAGGGCGTGCAAGAGGCAGCTGATCAATGATTCTCATCATTGACGTTTCTTTCTCTCCCTCTCCCTTCCTCTCTGAAATCGATAAAAATATATTTTTAAAAAATTAATCAGGAAATCTTCTGTATCATATTTTCAGTTGAGAATGATGAAAAGCTTTGTAAAGATCCTACCTGATCTGACTCTGCATTAGCCAAATTGACCTCCTCAATATTCACTGGACATGTCAGATTTGATCCTGCCTCAGAACCTTTGCACTTGCTCTCCCCTCTGTCCATACTGTTTTTCCCCCAAATAGACAAATGTCTTCCCTCCTTACTTCCTTCTGGTCTTTATTCAAATATCTCCTCAGTAAGATCTTTCCTGATTATTCTAAAATGTCAACACACACACACACACACACACACACACACGTCCTAACTTCCTTCCTTGCTTTATTTTTCTTCTTATTCAATTCACTCTCTAACATACTGTATATTGGAATTCTTTATTTTTTGTTGTCTCCCCCAACATATATATAAGCTCCATGGTGAGAGACCAGTCGGGAGCCAAAAACCAGGATTATAGGCTTTATTAAGAGAAAGAGACCTGCCGGGCTGTCTCGAAATGGGAGAACAGTAGCATATGCAGAGGTGAGCATGCCTTTTGAGGGAAGGAATGGGGGCTTAGTGTACTTGGCGTGCGCTGATTGGTGGCTTAATATATGGTCCATATAGGAACAAGGGCTTAGGGCAGTGATGGCGAACCTATGACACGCGTGTCAGAGGTGACATGTGAACTCATTTTTTTGGTTGATTTTTCTTTGTTAAATGGCATTTAAATATATAAAATAAATATCAAAAATATGTCTTTGTTTTACTATGGTTGCAAATATCAAAAAATTTCTATATGTGACACGGCACCAGAGTTAAGTTAGGGTTTTTCAAAATGCTGACACGCCGAGCTCAAAAGGTTCGCCATCACTGGCTTAGGGTATTTGGCAGGTATTGATCGGTGGTTCAATGTATTGTCCATATAAGGTACATGGTTAGTCACTTAGATATTTCCGGGCTGCAGGTTACATCATACTCCGGCCACCAGTTGGGGGAAGGGAGGATCTATCACATGGGGCTAGAAATTTCTGTCTATTTTGTTCCCTGATGTACCTTCAGTGCCTCACACAGTAAACACAATGGTTTCTTGTTGAATGAATGTATGAGCCCAAAAAATAGTTCAGATGGCTGGAGCCAAGAGAGTCAAATAGAAAAGAAGGGGGTTGCATAACAATGTAAATGTACTTGGTGTTACTAGATTGTACACCAAAAATGGTTAAAATGCTACATTTTATGTTGTTATTTATATTTTACTACAATAAAAAAATGTAAAAGAAGCCCGGCTGGTGTGGCTCAGTGGTTGAGTGTTGACCTAAGAACCAGGAGATCACAGTTCAATTCTGGTAGGGACACATGCGGGGGTTGCCGGCTTTGATCCCCAGTGTGGGGCGTGCAGGAGGCAGCCAATCAATGATTCTCTCTCATCACTGATGTTTCTATCTCTCCCTCTCCCTTCCTCTCTCTGAAATCAATAAAAACATATTTTAAAAAGTATATAAAAAAGAGAATTGACCAATGAATGCATAGATAAGTAGAACAAAGTGGTCATCTCTCTCTCCCTCCATCCTTCCACTCTTTCCCTTCCTCTCTCTCTCTCAAATCAATAAATAAAAATTAAAAGAAAAAAAAGTTATTTGAAAAGATCAAGAAAATTAACAAAACTTTAGCTAGACTAACCAATAAAAAAAGAGGGAAGACAAATGATGAAAATCAATAATGAAAGGGGACATTACTACAAATCTTAACAGAAATAAAAGGGATTATAAGGGAATACTATAAACCATTGTAAACTAACAAATTAGGTAACCTAACAGAAATGGACACATTTATAGAAAGACATAAAGTACCAAAATGGACTCAAAGGTAAATAGAGCCCTAGCCAGTTTGACTCAGTGGGTAGGGTGTCGGCCTATGGACTGAAGGGTCCCAGGTTCTATTCTGGTCAAGGGCACATGCCTGGGTTGTGGGCTTGATCGCCAGTGGGGAGTGTGCATGAGGCAGCTAATCAATGATTCTCTCTCATCATTGATATTTCTATCTCTCCCTCTTCCTTCCTATCTGAAATCAATAAAAAAAATTTTAAATAGTGAGAATACATTTTTTAAAAAAGTAAATAGAAACTCTGACTAGTCCTATAATGAAGAGATTGAGTTAGTAATAAAAACTTCCCACAAAGAAAAGCCCAGCAACAGACATTTTCACTGATAAACTCTACTGAATGTTAAAAAAAAAAAAAATTAATGGCAATCCTTCTCAAACTCTTACAAAAATAGAAGAGGAGGGAAGTCTTCCCTACTTATTCTAAGAGGCCTATATTACCCTGATGCCAAAGATATAAAAAAGCAATTACAGACCAATATATTGATATATTGTATGAGTAGAGATATAAAAAATCTTCAACAAAATACTAGCAAACGATATATAAAAAGTATTAGCCCTGGTCAATGTGTTCAGTGGTTAGAGCACTGCCCCATGCACTGATGCGTCATGGGTTTGATTCCCAGTCAAGGACACATACCTGGGTTGCAAGTTTGTGCGATCCCCAGCCCTGGTTGGGGTGGTGTGGGAGGTAAGCAATCTATGTGTCTCTTTCACATCAATGTTTCTCTCCTCTCCCCCTCCTACTCTCTCCACCTACCTACCTCCTCCCCTCCCTCCGTCCCTTCCACTCCCTAAAAATCAATGGAAAAAATATCCTCGGGTGAGGATTAACAAAAAAAGTATTACACCCATGGTCAACTGATTTTCAACAAAGGTGTCAAGACCATTCAAAGGGAACAGAAAAGTCTTTTCAACAAATGGTGCTGGAACAAATGAATATCCACGTACAAAAGAATGAATATTGGATCTTAGCCGATTTGGCTCAATGGATAGAACGTCGGTCTGTAGACTGAAGGGTCCCAGTTTCGATTCTGGTCAAGGGCACATGCCCGGGTTGCATTGCAGGGCTCCATCCCAGCTGGGGGCATGTAGGAGGCAGTGGATCAATGATTCTCTCTCATTATTGATGTTTCTATCTCTCTTTCCCTCTCCCTTCCTCTTTGAAATCAATTATATATAGATATATATGTGTGTGTGTATATATATGTGTATATATACACATGTACATAGAGCCCCTACACATTATATACAAAAATTAACTCAAAATTAATCATAGACCTAAAATATAAGAATTAAAATTATAACACTGTTAGGTGAAAACATAGCGGTAAATCTTTGTAGCCTTGGGTTAGGCAACAGTTTCTCAGATATCAAAAGCATAAGCAACTAAAGGAAAAACACAAAATTGGACTTCACCAAAACTTAAAATTTTGTGCTTCAAATGATACCAATGAAGAAAGTGAAAAGATAATCCACAGAACGGGAGAAAATATTTGCAGATCATGTATCTGATATAGGTCTAGTATCTACAATATCAAAAACACTCTTACAAACTCAACAAAAGATAACCCAATTTTAAAATGGGCAAAGGACTTCTTCAATAGACATTCCTCCAAAGAAGATAAACAAACGGACAATTAGCATATGAAAATAGGCTCACCATCACTAATCATTAAGGAAGTACAAAAACAACAACAACCCACAAGATACCAATTCACACCATCTAGGATGGCTAAAGTAAAAACACACAACAACAATTAGTGAGGATGTAGACAAATTGGAATCCTGTTACGTGGCTGGTGGGGATGTCCAATGGGACAGCTATTGTGAAAAACAGTTGTCCGTTCCTCAGAATGTTGAACAGTTAGTTTATGACCCAGCAATTCCACGCCTGGCACTGTATATACTACCAGGTATATACATACCTAAGAGAAATGAAGACAGAGTGTGCTCTCTCTAAGTCAGAGGCTCAAGTCTGTCTTGAAGACTTTTTGACTTGCAACCCCAATCAGATATATCAGTACCGCACAATCCAATCAGAAGCATAGCCCTTGCAGACTGGGTTGTGGTTTTTTGGTGTGTTTTTTTTTTGCTGGGGGGGGGGGGGGTTTTTTTTTTTTTTTATCTGTGTTTTTGTGGGGGGGGGGGGTATTTTTGTTTGCTTACTTGCCTGCCACGCTGCCGTCAAGCATTCACTGTCGCAAAAGAACGTCCTCCCACATTTTTTTTCCCTTCTGCCGTCAACCGTGGCCCAGCTTCGCTCCCAGAAGGCCTCGGGGCACGACTAAAGGGAGTGACAGAGCGCTTTACGACAGTTGCTTTGTGGCAGCACCAGAGGAGAAAGATGGCGGCCACCTTAGTAGCTAGAGGAGCGGGTCCGGCACCAGCCTGGGGGCCGGAGGCCATTACCCCCGACTGGGAAAACCGGGAAGTCTCCACAGGGGTGAGGAAGGACTCGGGGTTCAGGAGATGTGCGCACGTCTGAATGCGATGGGAGGACAGGCCTGGGAGCGTTGGGAGGCCTGGGGGGCGGGGGCGGGAGGGGGTCTGGG